TGTCAATGTGTATTTAAAAGGTCACTTAGTGTCATGGAAACATGTACAGGGTGGTCCACGTAAGGTGACCCATATACTTCTCTCAGAAACTACTGGAGTCACAAAAAATTTGTAAGGAACAAATATTCACGAAGTAAAAAATATTTTTAAAATATTATATTTTCATTTATACAGGGTGTTCGGTTTTCCTTGGAACGATACCAACTTTCTTATTTTCAATGGAACACCCTGTATTTTTTTGCATTTTTGGATTCTTCCCACTCTTTTAGGTATACTTTGTAAATATATTAAATAAGAAAATGTTAATACTTTTTGAGTAAAATTAAGATTTATTAAAATTTCTCTAAATGTAGACACTCGCTAAAAGTTAAAAATAACCAACTAAAAGTTATTATTTTGTATATTATGTAGTATCCATCTCTTTAATAATAAGTAAGCTATAAGTTAATTATTATATTTTTTGGAAAATATCATACAGGGTGTTTTCTATGTCCCGTTGAAAATAGCGATTTTAAAAGTTAAAAATCTTGTTTTTCTTCAATGGAACACCCTATATATTTTTGCATAATTGGATAGAATAAGTAATTACCTTTCATTTTATATATATATGTCCTATACCTAAACCTAACAGAAAAAAAAATATTCGCATTTTTCACAATTAGTAGCTTTTTTCCAATTACCTTAGTTAAATTCAAAGAAAACACCCTGTATAATGTTTTCCAAAAAAATAAATTAATTAACTTATAGCTTACTTATTATTAAAGAGATGAATGCTACATAATATAAAAAATAATAACTTTTAGTTGGTTAATTTAGCGAATGTCTACATTTAGAGAAATTTTAATAAATCCTCATTTTACTCAAAAAGTAATAACATTTTCTTAATTAATATATTTACAAAGTATACCTAAAAGAATGTGTAGAATCCAAAAATGCAAAAAAATATAGGGTGTTCCATTGAAAATAAGAAAGTTGGTATCGTCCCAAGGAAAACCGAACACCCTGTATAAATGAAAATATAATTTTTTAAAAATATTTTTTACTTCGTGAATATTTGTTTCTTACAAATTTTTTTTGACTCCAGTAGTTTCTGAGATATGTATATGGGTCACCTTACGTGGATCACCTAAAAAAAATATTCGCATTTTACAAAATTAGTAGCTTTGCGCGTATGGTAATTATAATAATAATTATAGTAATATATATTTATATATAAAAGCATTTTTATTTGTTGTTATTGAAATTTATTTATTTGAATAATGAAAATTTAACTAAGGTAATTGGAAAAAAGCTACTAATTGTGAAAAATGCGAATATTTTTTTTTCTGTTAGGTTTAGGTATAGGACATATATATATAAAATGAAAGGTAATTACTTATTCTATCCAATTATGCAAAAATATTTAGGGTGTTCCATTGAAGAAAAACAAGATTTTTAACTTTTAAAATCGCTATTTTCAACGGGACATAGAAAACACCCTGTATGATATTTTCCGAAAAATATAATAATTAACTTATAGCTTACTTATTATTAAAGAGATGGATACTACATAATATAAAAAATAATAACTTTTAGTTGATTATTTTTAACTTTTAGCGAGTGTCTACATTTAGAGAATTTTTAATAAATCTTAATTTTACTCAAAAAGTATTAACATTTTCTTAATTAATATATTTACAAAGTATACCTAAAAGAGTGGGTAGAATCCAAAAATGCAAAAAAATACAGGGTGTTCCATTGAAAATAAGAAAGTTGGTATCGTCCCAAGGAAAACGGAACACCCTGTATAAATGAAAATATAATATTTTAAAAATATTTTTTACTTCGTGAATATTTGTTTCTTACAATTTTTTTGTGACCCCAGTAGTTTCTGAGATAAGTATATGGGTCACCTTACGTGGACCACCCTGTACGATATAGGTGTGAGTAGAATTGATCCCGGCGCATTCGCCATTTTTGCGACTTGAAAAGTAATAATTTTTTTCCTAGGTATCGGCACTAATTATCGAAATGACTCGATTCAATTGGACCCAGAATCGTTGGAGAATGCCACAGGGTCTCTTTGCGTTTTAAAGGTGGGAGTAGACAACAATATTTTATCATCCCAAATTGGGATATTATTTCCTTAAACTTGCTTCTAATTTTTTAATTATATTAAAATTAAAATATATATAGTTAAGAATTATTTAAAAAAAGTAACTATAGTTGTTTAGTCATATATGAAAATGCGAAGTGACATGACTAAACACACAAAGTTGGAATCCATAAAAACTGCTCTTTTTGTAGATGGGTCTACAGCCAAAAAGACAACTTTTTCAAAGTACAAAAGTATATAAGAGTACAGAAATTATAGATAAAATCGTAGCTCATTTCATGTCATGTTTTTAAAATATTATTTCCTTAAAATCACTTTTAACCCTATTTACTATATTAAAAATAAAAAATATAGTTAAGAATTAAGGTTTATAATTTTGATAACGTGACGTAACGTGACTAAACATACAAATTGCTCTTTTTTCCTGTAGATGGATCTATAGCCAAAAATGGCAAATTTTTCAAAATGCAAAAAGTATATATGAGTTTATAGAAATTATAGATAAAATCCTAAACTCATGTCACGTTTTTAAGATTAATATCTTAAAATCACTTCTTGAGAATGATTTTAAGAAAACAATTTTAAAAGTGTGACGTGAAAACTTTGTCACAGTACAAAAGTATATAAGGGTACAGAAATTATAGATAAAATCCTAACTCATGTCACGTTTTTAAAATATTAATTCCTTAAAATCACTTTTAACCCTAAAAACCATATTAAGAATTAAAATATAGTTGGAATATATAATATATAATTATAAAAACGTGACGTGACGTCACTAAACATGCGAAGTTAGAAAACATACGAATTTCTCTTTTTGTCTGTGGATGAGTCTACAGCCAAAATAGCAACTTTGTCAAAATGCAGAAATTATAGATAAAACTCTAACTCATGTCACCTTTTTAAAATATTAATTTCTTAAAATCATTTCCTACATTATTAACTTAATAAATCTTAAATACAGTTAGTTTTAAGAAAATAATTTTTTAAAATGTGACGTGAAGTTTCTTAAAATACAAAGTTAGAATACTGCATGTAGGTTTTGTTCTTTTAAACAGTCAAACAGTTTTAACCTCACTTTTTTCCTATTTTTACATAAAGTTAACTTTACCCCACGGGTTAAAGTTAAGAAATTAACAATTAGGAAATTAATATATTAATATATATATATATATATATATATATATATATAATATTAATCTATTTTGCTTTCATAATGACTTCATTATAACACCGCTTTCGGTGCTGTAATGAGATACTTTGTCCCACCCAAAATTTTGATTTTATAGGTTGGCTATACTTTAAACAGCATAATATTTTGCATATTGGTTACAATATTTTTATGTTTTTTCTAGTATTTACGAGACTTTTCTGGCAATACATTTTTTTTAACACCAAAGAAAATCCTTTTTTTCTTCTTTAACTTTAACAGCCGCTTATTGTAAATAAGTAAATTTAGGACGGCATGGCGAATCGATTTTGACATTAACTGTCAAACCAATGACTGTGATACCAACTATCTAAAGTAAAATTCGACCAAATTAAATTGAAGGTATAACATTATTTTTTTATAGAATTTTTGCAAAATAGATAGATTGTCGCACTCGTTCATTACAAAAGTCGCCCCTTCGTCGCTCGTTTTATAAATCGTCCGCGTGCGACAAAATGACTTCTTATGACATTAGTTGATACTATTATAGTATTAATAATTGCTAAGTTTAATTAAAATTTTAACGGCTAATATTAATGGTGAAAATTACGTCAAAAATGTTTATTGGGTTGGTTACTTTATTTTCGTATAGATGTCACTTTATACAAATATTTAATTTAAATATTTTTTTAGATAAAACTAAGTACTTGTCATATGCAACTCGTTTATAAACTTTTCTAGTCACTCATTTAATTAAGCCCGCTCGTGCCTAAATTAAATTCGTGACTAAAATGGCGTTTATCAAACTTAATGATATTATTAACTTTTGATGTAAAAACCCGTTTAAAAACAATAAAGATTTTAAAATCCATTTCATTTGGGCGATGGAAATGTTACCCACATTTCAAATTGGCCATCTTGAAATTACTTAACGCAATATCTCGTCAAGGCATAAAAGACCCACGGGAGAAAAAAAGCCGCAATAAAAACATAACAAGGCTTTATTAATAGTAAATAATAAAATAGATAATAGCCGAGCGAAGATAGGAATTTTCACGCGCAGGGTGAAGCACCGCCGGATTGGTCAGTGACAAAGGTTGGCGTGTACGCAGCCTTCTGACAGTTTGAATAAAGCCTTTCCATTGGAAGGCATTCGGGGTTGAAGTGTAAACCAGACCCTGTTAGCAATTTTGTGGGCGGAGTTCCAACAAGGGATGATTTACCATCACAATGAATATATTCATTCTTGCACTGAAATTTCGACTGATAACAGCTCGCGGCACAAGTGTTTTAAGTGGTCAGTGATTACATGAGTTTCCGTTTCTATGACAGTTTGTGAATCTTTATAGTTTTGACATTCTACCCCAAGGTAAGACTTTGTATTAATTTTTTTTTCTACGCGCTGTATATTAAACAAATCTTTTTATGGCACAGCCGTACAAAAACATTTTTCATTAACCATATACCTAACTGAATCGGCTATAGAGCCATCTAAAACATTAAATTCCAAGACCGTCAAGTCTGGCGGTCTAGCGGACCACTGTAGCAAGAAACGAGCAAATCCACCCATATTTTTTATTTCCAGAATGGATTCTCACAAACAAAAAATCTCAGAACCCCTTTCCCTAGGACTAAAAAAGGACCTATCGCCAAAACTAAACCAGGTTGGTCCCTCACGAGCTTCTAACAAAACAACGTAAGCGATATCTTATGTCGCTTACGATATTTTGCTAAAGCTTCTCAAATCTCATCGAAATGAGACGAAACGAAAAAAATATTAACCTGGCAGTTTCAGGTGGGCACAGTCATATTGTATGGGGTGCCAATTGTTTCCTTGGTCATCGAAAATCAGGAACGATTGTGTCTGGCACAAATTTCAAATACACTTTTAAAACAGTACAGTTACAATGAGATTCACAACAGAAGGGTGGCGCTTGGTAAGTGAAGAAGGGTTTTAAGAACCAAGTTTTAAGTTTGGACTTTGATTTACAAGAGTATAATTGCTTTAAATTCGACAAAAACCTTTTGTTTTGCATATTTTTCCTAGAAAAAGTTCACAAGTAGTCATTGGTGAAGACCTTTTGGCAACCAGAATTTTATAAATCGAACTTTACACCATTTAAGGAAGTTTTTCAAACCAGTTCTTAGGATTTATTCAAGATGAAGCTTTTTTTGTATAAATCCTTCTGCAAATGGTTCAAAACTCTTTGGTGATCAATGTTTTTTCTTTAGCAATGTGTACGCCATAAAATGGTCTTGCTAAACTTTTTTCAAGATTTTCGGTGTATCAGTCTATCAGAGACTCTGATTCAGAGTCCATCAAATTTGCAATTGTTGAGTAGGTCATTTTTTTTATTTTGGCATGGTTTGGGCATGATACTTTCTCATGTTGTCCAAGTACTTGAAAAAGGACAACTTTGGTGATATGTTAAACAAATATTAGAAATATTCCCCAACACCAAAAGAAAACACAATGTGCTAAAAGTACTTTTCGCCAACGATGTTGGCATCTTCAGAAAGGAAGTGTAACGTTTTTTGGTGTTGGGGAATACTTCTAATATTAGTTTTATCCAAGTGTTGGGTTCTGGGACGTCCTGGTTGGATGGACTTCTTTATGTGAAACTGAGATGAAATTGTTTCAGGCATCACATGCGTTCAGTGCACGCCTGTTCAGCTGGAGATACTGCGCCGCGCTGGTGCGATGCCGGTATCGTCGCGTAGATGCGGCATGATAACGAGAAGAGAGGCTGAAAGGCTTTGCAAGAGTTTTTTGGGCGACAACGCACCGCCCAGGCTGCCCGACGATTTCGCCTTCGCGGTGCACCACGAATGCGCTTGGGGGTGCCGCGGGTCGTTTTTGCCGTCGCGTTACAACTCATCTCGCGCCAAGTGCATCAAGTGTACCGTTTGCGGTCTGTTCTTCTCGCCGAACAAGTTCATCTTTCATTCGCATCGTTTGTCTCCGAACGATAAGTACGTGCAACCTGACGCGGCCAATTTCAATTCGTGGCGACGACACATGAAGCTGACCGGTGCTCCTCACGAAGAAATCGTTCACGCCTGGGAGGATGTCAAGGCCATGTTCAACGGTGGCACCAGGAAGAGATTGCTGGCCAACTCGATACTACCGCGGGCCGCTAAACAAACGAAAATCGAATCGCAATCGCCCCCAATAGTTCCTTCGCCGAGAATCCCGAACTGTCAAGACATCTCCTTACCCATATCAAGAGTCGCCATGGACTTCATCTATCACAAACCCTTGGCTTTTTCATCGTACTCCACTTTCCCGTGGCTCAAACGGGGGCCCATCATATTTCCCCAGGAAAATCACTATTTTTCCCTCGACAAAACATATCAGTCTGCGTTTAAACCAGTTCAACCCATCGTCGAGAGAAGTGTCACGCAAGAAGAGCAAGACAGTGATGATGAGGTCGACATCGAGACCACAGATGACACCACCAGCCCTCTCCATTGGGATCTCAAGGAAGAAAAGGTAAGTGCTGATTTCCGATTCTGGAGTTCTGAAGATTGCAATGAGATATACATAATCTAAAGTCTATTCAAATCCAAGCTGGACTAAACAAATACGCCCAGACGCATGATAACTCGTTCTTATTTGTCGATTATGGTCCTGTTACTGGGATTGTGATTTCTTATTGGTCTATTTGGAGGATTGTGTTTACATTTAGTTTAGCTTGGATTTGAATAGACTTTAGTAAAACTACTAATTGAACCCGTTCAATTATCAAATTATTTTTTTCAAAAATCATTACATTAACTCCTTGTTGACTTTTTTCGCACTTGGTTAGGCTTTAGCACACAAATTTGCTGTAAGTAATTTTACTAAATAATTCAAATTCAATTTTCGGTAAGGTGTTTACATTTAATCATATTGAAAGGTAACGTTTAAACATAAACAAACGCGTATTACGTTACATATGATTAAAAACGCCACACATTAATCAACCCAAAAGGGACAAGCAAAACAGGGTGGAGACAAAACATATTCACCCCTATGATCTATTTATACGTTATGACACACTTGTCTAGGCCATTCAAATAAAGTATTAATTAAAACTGGATAATCTTTCATTCAAAGTTAAGACTTCCCAATAATTTTTTTTATTTTTTCAGGATTTCAAAGTAACATCAATTTAAGCAATCAACGTTAATTATAGTGACAACGAACATCGTTTTTTTAATAATGTTTATTTACAATTACCTATTAATAGTATACGTTAAATTATTTGTTTATAATGTAATAAAATATATTATAGAATCACGTTATTTTTACTTAAACTGACCCCTCAACTAAAGAACCTAAAACTTCCTTAGAATTGAAGGTAAGTTTTAAGTAAGTAATTTAAATGCAGTATTGATCAAAAGAATTTTTATATTCTAGTAGTGCACTCAATTAAAAACTTAAAGTAAATACCGCATTTCAATGTCTCTGGGGAGACATTATTTTGGTTTAGTTAATAAAAAGAAACTTCCAATCAAAGTAAGAACTAAAGTTAGTTTTTTTACAAGCCCTGTTGAAAAAAGATTTTACACAATTTTTAAATATTTATTACAGATTTATTTTAACAAAACATAAAGTAATAATATGTTGATCACAATTTGCAAAAGTAAAAATTAAGTGTTTATATATGTATATTAAAAACAAGTGTAGGCTTCGGCTAAATTTGAGCCAAAGGTTTAACCGAACAAAATAATAATAAGCCTAGATAATGACAAGCCTTAATAACGACAAGCTCTAAAATAAACATAATTAAATACCTATAGACATATTAAAATGACAACAAAGTAAAATGATGACAAGATGACAAAAGGTTAAAATGCGTTAATAAAAAATGACAATAAAAATGTCGTCGTCAATTTAGTGTTATAACTCAAGGTCAAAAGTTAAATGTTAGTAAAAATGGTGTCTCTAGGGGGGATGGGCAGCTGCCCATGATAAAGACAAGACAAAATGATGATTCATTGAGAAAAATTTTAAATGACGACAAGCCTAAATAACGACATGTTTAAATTACGACGAACTAAAATGACGACAAGCTAAAATGACGACATGCTTAAATTGTCAAGTAAATGAGGACAAAATAAAATGAGAGCAAAATGACAAAAAGCAAAAATTGCAAGCTTAAATAACTACAAGCTCTAAAATAACAAGAAACATAAATGAATGAAGACACATTGAGATGACGACAACATAAAATGTCAAGCTTAAATGAGGACAAACTAAAATAAAAACAAAATGACAAAAAGGCTAAAAGCAAAAATTACAACCTTAAATAATGATAAGCCTAAATAACGACCAGCTCTAAAATGACGATAAACATAAATTAATGAAGACATATTGAAATGACAACAAGCTTAAGTGTCAAGCTTAAATGAGGACAAACTAAAATAAAAACAAAATGACAAAGAGACAAAAAGCAAAAACTACAAGCTTAAATAATGACAACCCTAAATAACGAAAAGCTCTAAAATAATAATAAACAAATGAATGAAGACTTATTGAAATGACGACCAGCTAAAATGTCAAGCATAAATAAGGACAAATTAAAATAAGAACAAAATGACAAAAAGCAAAAATTACAAGCTTAAATAATGACAAGCCTAAATAACGACAAGCTCTAAAATAACGATGAACATAAATGAATGAAGACTTATTGACAAGCTAAAATGTCAAGTTTAAATGAGGACAAACTAAAATAATAACAAAATGACAAAAAGACTAAAAGCAAAAATTACGAGCTTAAATAATGACAAGCCTTAATAACGACAAGCTCTAAAAGGACGATAAACATGAATGAAGACATATTGAAATGACAACAAGCCAAAGTGTCAAGCTTAAATGAGGACAAACTAAAATAAGAACAAAATGACAAAAAGCAAAAATTACAAGCTTAAATAATGACAAGCCTAAATAACGACAAGCTCTAAAATAACTATAAACAAAAATGAATGAAGATATATTTAAATGACGACAAGCTAAAATGTGAAGCTTAAGTGAGGTTAAACTAAAATAAGAACAAAATGACAAAAAGACTAAAAGCAAAAATTACAAGCTTAAATAACGACAAGCTCTAAAAAGACGATAAACATAAATGAATGAAGACATATTGAAATGACGACAAGCTAAAATGTAAAGCTAAGGTTAAGCTTAAATGTCAAAAAAAAGCAAAAATTACAAGCTTAAGTAACGACAAGCTCTAAAAAGACGATAAACATAAATGAATGAAGAAATATTGAATTGATGACAAGCTAAAATGTCAAGCTTAAATGAGGACAAACTAAAATAAGAACAAAATGACAAAAAGACTAAAAGCAAAAATTACAAGCTTAAATAATGACAGGCCTAAATAACGACAAGCTCTAAAATGACGATAAACTTCATTGAGATGACGACAAGCTAAAATGTCAAGCTTAAATGAGGACAAACTAAAATAAGAACAAAATGACAAAAAGACTAAAAGCAAAAATTACAAGCTTAAATAATGACTAATGACAAGCCTAAATAACGACCAGCTCTAAAATGACGATAAAAATCATTGAGATGAAGACAAGCTTAAATGTCAAGCTTAAATGAGCAAAATGACAAAAAAAATAAAAGCAAAAATTACAAGCTTAAATAATAACAAGCCTAAATAACGACAAGCTCTAAAATGATAAATATAAATGAATGAAGACATATTAAAATGACGACAAACTAAAATGGTGACAAGATGACAAAAGGTAAAAATGCGTTAAGCAAAAATGACAATATAAAGTCATCGTCAATTTCGTGCCATAATAACACAATGTCAAAAGTTAAATAATAATATCGATTTTCCAGGATGGTAGCAAAAAATGGTGTAGGTATCTATTATAATTTTTGCGCTTGAGGCAGTAGTCTAGAGTAAGAAATTTTGAATAGCAGCATTGTGTAACATTCAGATCAAATAATTAATAATGCATCGCACGGCTATAGAAAGACAGTAATTAATCTATTGTTAAGTAATACAAATGTTAAATCTCATTGTGTTAACGCATTCATTATAATCGGTTTTAATTTACTTGTAAGAATCGTATTGTAGGCAAATGTTTGCCTATTTCTTTATGCCTGTGCGCTCTCTCTTCTGCTCTTTGCTCTGTACATTCTATTAAATCGTCGGGCCTCAGTTAACAAGGGGCCGCCAAATTAATTTCAAGAAAAACATCATCATTTTATCCCTCCTTCCTCCTTTACCTTTCCTTTTGTTAAATACTCTTTAAAGGTCAATATTTAAGCTGAATAAATTAATATATTAACCATTAGATACTCTAGCAATCTTTACTTTAAATGATTTAGCAAAATTATTGCTTTAAATGATAAAATTAAAACCTTAAATAATGACAAGCTTTAATGACAACAAGCTAAATTGTTTAGAGTTTAAATGATACCAGGCTTAAATAGGTGACGTCTAAATAAGGGCAAGCTTGAATGATGACAAGCTAAAATAATAACAAGCTTAAATGAGGACAAGCTAAAATGAGGATAAGTTTAAATGACTTCAGTCTAAAGACATGCTAAAATAGGAACAAGGTTAAATAACAACCTTAAATAAGGACAAGTTAAAATGATAATAGGGCAATCTAAAATTTCAAGCGTCATTTTAGCTTGACTTCATTTAAGCTTGGCATTATTTCAGCTTATCGTCATTTAAGTTTTACTTATTTAGCATGCCTTCATTTTAGATATTACCTATTTAAGCCTGTAGGCTATACTATAGTAGTATTTTGGCTAGAACTATAGTTCTAGCTATAGCATGTCCTTTTTTAGGCTTATAATTTTAGCTTGTCGTCATTTAAGCTTGTCATTATTTATGTTTTTCGTTATTTTAGTATGTTGTCATTTGACTGTCATTTTAGTTTGCCCTTTTTTAGGCCTGTTATTTTAAATTTTCCTTCAAGCTAAAAAACATGGGTTTAAGCTAACAGACTTGCTAAAATAGGACCAAGTTATAATGACAATATTACATGAGGACAATCTAAAATGATAATAGGGGAATATAAAATGATGAACTTGTCATTTTAGATTGCCCTATAGTCATTTAAGCTTGTCCTCATTTAAGCTTGTCATTTGTTCCTACTTTAGCATGTCTTTTAGCTTAAAGTCATTTAAACTTATCCTCATTATCCTTATTTAAGCTTGTTATAATTTTAGCTTGACATTTAAGCTTGCAATTATTAAGTTTTTCGTTATATTAGCTTGTCGTCATTTGAGTTTGTCATGATTGGGGACTATAATTATTTTAGTTTGCCCTTTTTAGGCTTCTTATTTTTCTTCAAGCTAAAAAACATGAGTCTAAGCTAACAGACTTGCTAAAATAGGACAAAGCTATAACGACAATCTTACATGAGGACAATCTAAAATGATAATAGGGGAATATAAAATGATAAACTTGTCATTTTATATTGCCCTATAGTCATTTTAGCTTGTCCTCATTTAAGCTTGTCATTTGTTCCTACTTTAGCATGGCTTTTAGCTTAAAGTCATTTTAACTTATCCTTATTTAAGCTTGTTATAATTTTAGCTTGTCATTATTTAAGTTTGTCGTTATTTGCGTTTGTCATGATTTGGGACTATCATTATTTTAGTTTGCCCATTTTAGGCTTCTTATTTTCCTTCAAGCTAAAAAACATGAGTTTAGGCTAACAGACTTGCTAAAATAGGGCCAAGCTATAATGACAATCTTACATGAGGACAATCTAAAATAATAATAGGGAAATATAAAATGATGAACTTGTCATTTTAGATTATCCTATAGTCATTTTAGCTTGTCCTCATTTAAGCTTGTCATTTGTTCCCACTTTAGCATGGCTTTTAGCTTAAAGTAATTTAAACTTATCCTTATTTAAACTTGTTATAATTTTAGCTTGTCATTTAAGCTTGTCATTATTTAAGTTTTTCGTTATTTTAGCTTGTCGTCATTTGAGTTTGTCATGATTTGGGACTATCATTATTTTAGTTTGCCCATTTTAGGCTTCTTATTTTCCTTCAAGATAAAAAACATGAGTTTAAGCTAACAGACTTTTTAAAATAGGGCCAAGCTATAATGACAATCTTACATGAGGACAAGCTAAAATGACAATAGGGGAATCTAAAATGTTGAACTTGTCATTTTAGATTGCCC